TTTCATCTGCAGCGTGATGACATGGCCTTCTCTCACATTTAGTAGACACCTGAAACTTGTAAAACACTTAGCAACTCTGAGAACAACAAAAAGAGCACCCAATAGCCTTCGGGGGGGGGGGAGGGACACACCTACAACCGCACGTCGGCCCACCAAATCCTGTAAACTGTCTACATGTGAAAACCGGACAACCTTGTCAGCACCCCCTACGCTGTGAATGGCTGGTCACATTAGGAAGAGAATGGAGAAATGGCGTTCAAATGGTGATAGTACAGTATCAGCAAGCTTGACAGCAGTTTGCGGGGTACTGACATTACATTAGGAAATTTCAGGAACTCACAGCGGTTGCAGGGTGAGACACGATTGTGAAAAGACAAAAGAAAAAAAGAAGAAAAAAGACTAAGACACACACACACACTGAAATAGCTCGCAGGTGTGCCCCTTCCCCTCGCCCTTTCATACCCCAAAGCTTATTAGCACCAAAACCTATTTTGAGGGAGTGCTGAAAAAAGTTTCGTCGTGCTTGCTCAGTGTTTAACGGAAGCACCCTTGCGTAGTCCTGGTTCCCTCTCCAGGTTCCCTCCCATTCCTGATCCTCAAAAAGCTTCGACTCACTGCAGACGAGACTTTCGCGCAAAGATCAGTCAGTGCATTCCGTAAAACTTTTCGAGCGGGAGAGATGAAACATCTTGTCGCTTGTCAAAGTATGTGCATGTTTCTTTCTTTCGTCTTTTCTTTTGTCGTTTCACAGTCATGTCTTACTCTGCAAGTCCTGCGAATTCCTGTCCAAGTACCCTGTACACTCCTGTTGAGCTTCGCGACGTGGCGTTAGGGTCATTGTGACGCCATTTCTCTCCACTTTTCCCGAATCTCGACTAGTCATTCCGAGTCCTGACAGAAGCTTACAGGGCGCTTGACAGGTTCTAACAAAGTTCACAGGGTAATTGACATGTTTTCCCGATGATTAGTTCACATGTTCACAGGGTATTGACATGGTTTTCCCGATATTCACATGTTCACAGATAAGAGGATTTGGCATTCTGACAAGCGCTTGCAGGTGTGGCACCCCCGAGGTGAGTAGCGCTTCTTTTTGCTTCTGGAAATTCAGCTAGGGCGCTAGGGCTCAAACTCCGACCAGCGCTCTTGAACCGCCTTTCAAGCGCTCTGAAAAAATAGATAACAGAAAATAAACTCACTTGGTTTGCGGAGGACACCGAGTCATGCTCATAGCTTCCAGAGGACGCCCACCTTCAGACGCATCGAGCACCGTCAACGACTCTTCCTGAATCAATGGACGGAAGATTGCTTTTTTCTTATCGAAGACACTACTTTTGTAGGAAACAGAAATCCTGCTAACAGAAAAAAATTTCAAAGAAATTGATTTAAGGGAATGTATGCTCGAAGGTGATCTCCGCATACATAGATCTACAAAATAGATAGTTTATATCAAAAGCCCTAAAAATACACCAATCACCTTGGGAGGGGGGAAGGAGGCTGGAAAGGTTTGGAGGAGTCCCTGGGGAAAGTCTGAAATCAGGTCATCTGAATAACATCACCTTGCCTGAAACTGGTTAGCCCAGCCCTGAGCTCCTTCTCTCACCTTCCCTCGAAGGCTTCGGCAAAAGCTCTTATCTCTAGGCTAACATTAACTTTGCATGAGCACTTTCCACGACCTCCCCCCCAAGGTTCTTGGAAACTAAAAAATCTTGCTGGTTACCAGAGTCCAGATGAGAAGTTCGAATTCATCGGAATCCAACGGAATACTTCCCTTCGCCGTACAAATAGACCTCCGTTGAGTAGAGTGGAGGGCCATATATCTGCACAGGACCGTTTCTTAAAAAGAGACAGATGAAGCACAAGTTCAAGGTGCATTGTTGTGAATCATGAAATATTTAATGTTGTATTTGATACACCGCTTTCTTACCGTAGTGCATCCTTATGGTTTCCAATAAACTCCAGCAGATTCATAGGTTTTGGAAGGTCGATAGGAACTGGCTCGTATGGAGCATTAATCAGAAAACTTTTTGGAATTAATTAATTAACAAATTGTTTAAAATAAATAAAAATAATCAGATAAATGAATAGATTACGGTTCTGAGAAAGATAGGTCCCTTTACCGTCTATGTGATCCGAAGCAGGTCTCCTATTAGCCCCCCCCCTTTTACTGTTTCAGGTTTTGGCGGGCGCATGCATCAGGCAGGTGACTGTGCCGCTACCCATTCAGGGCATGCTCTGTCGCTGGGCATAGTTTTTTGCAGAATACGTCCCTCCGAATTTCTCCTTGCTTACCTACCACCTTACCACGCGAGTTTTAGTCAACCAGTTCTTCACGAATTTTTGAGCCAAAAAGTGCCGCAGAGCAGAGAGGGGGGGGAGGAAGGAGAGGGGGAGTGCATGACACATTTGAAGCAGAGAAAATCAAAGCTAAGTGTGTTCCCCTGCCTCAGCGACCAAATACGATCCCTCCCGCTGGGAATTCTCCGGGGCAAGACATACCCTGAACCTACCCCTCTTTTCTCATGGGTTAACCAAATCATGTCTATAAGTCCATCAAGTCCATGTCCCTATGAGGCTCCTAGTGAGGTTTCTTGTGAACCAGAGCGTGCAGAACCAGCAATCGACCCATGCATTTCTCTTAATAGGCTAGTAATAAGCTTGCTTGCCCAGGAACTGTATTGGGCGATCAAGAAGGTTCGAGGACCTACACCTCGAGGTAACGCTCCGGGCACCATAAGCGGGTTGAGCTTGGTTAACTGGTACCAGCTCGCCTGGAAGCAGTCTTGAGGCTGATCCTCATCACGACATCGGAAGCGTCACTCTACACGGAAATCAAACGCAGGGCTCATGCGGGAGATAAACAGTCACCTATACGCTTGCATTGTTCCACCCTATTATATGTTGAAAATATGAAAATAATCGAGGCACAATGCTGTGAGGTACCTGTTCTACATTCCTCTGAGGAGAAGAAGCCTCTGATAAGTGGTGGCAAGTCGCGAACGACATCAGTCAGGTGAAACCAACGTTCAAATAGACGCGTTGTTGTGGAACCAGCAAAGTACCTTAAAAGACTGATTTAAGGATGACCTCCCTAGACGTCTGTCGCATTTACTCTCCCCCTTGATCGTTCTCTTGGTCAGGCGCCCTTGCAATCTACGGGCATCTAGGTTAGGACACTAACCCATGAGCAAACTACTTGCTTGAGTAGGGTCTGTCGATGCAGCTAAGAGACAGTTCCAGCTATGACCTTTTTCATGAATATCATGAGGGGAGGGGAAGGGGCGGGGCGGGTGAGAGGGAAAGGGGAGCTGCGTGGATGAATACCATGAGAAATGAATGATTAAGCTGGAAAGCAAATGATCTTTAATTCGCACTTGCGTAACGGACTATAGGCTCCATGAGCCCATGCGGATGTCAACATGTGGCTGCTGTTAAGCCGTGATGTGGTATCAACGGATGGAGTGGTGTGCAAGCTTTTTTTTAAAATGAGTTTATTCTAGATGGCCTAGTAAAGAGAAAACCGAGAGCATGCTGTTTTCATACCTCTGGTAAGTAAGGGGCTACGCGGCCAATGTGAAGACTTACCAGGACCGTATCTCATCCAGCAGGTTGTGTAAACCCGCGTTTGTTTTTAACCCAAGCTATAAGAGCTTAACTAAGCCTGTGATTGTAAATGAACCTGCGGAAGTAGGTATTCATCTTACCTTACACAGTCAAATTCTGTATTAGCTCTAGTTCGCTCCAAATACGAACTCACATAGTGTTTCGGCAATGCACGCTTGAGTGAGAACATGTTGCTAACTCGAGATGGCAATAGGAACATTTCACCTAAACCAGAAAAACTCCTGAAAAGTCGAAACTGCCGTCTACGAGAAAGGCATGAGCGCAAGGGGGGGGGGAGGAAGGAGCGTGGTCAATGTTTCCGTACGTAGTGCCACTTGGACATAGACGAGATATGTGGAACGAAGATCCTGCATATCTCGAGCATTTCAGAACAAAATACGTTCGGAGTCACTCGCTTCTGAATTCCTCACTGAAAACCGATGACACCCTCCACGCTGAAAGGTTGAACAAACGAGTGGGCGGACACCTCCACACGGTCATTGTTGGCCTTTTCCCATTGGCCGCGGCGCACCATTTGTAAATAACATGGAAGAGTAACGGCCCTGTCAGGTGACAAAAATCAGGGAAGTGATAAGTTTAGCCATACCATTGTAATCCTCCCACTTAATATCGCGCAGATATTAGCACTACTTATGAGTCTCTGCCCCGCCAGGTGGGATCCAAATCAGATTTTGTGCGACATTATCTGTAGAGGCAAGCTCATCCGCATTTTGTCTTTGGTCGGTAGTTTGCCGCTATGAACCTGAATATCAAAAATATCAGTCCGTTTGACGCCACGCATTCACCCTTACCGGAAACCGACTTGGGCTAGTTGTAGCAACCATCTGTAGAGTTGCTAGAGCAGTACCCTGCGTTCTTGTGCCACGAGGCATTGATGATGCCACGTTTAGCCAGGACGCAAATTGACTAATGGGACCGAAAATCGGGGAATAGAAACGTTTTGTTCATGGCAGTCCGTGGTACTGGTGGTGGTGAATATAAGCGAATGTGGTTAGCTATCGATAAAGCGAATATTCGGTCGTTTTCCCTGGGGGGGTAGATTTCTTGTTTTTTCGCAATGCGTCAGTCATACAGGTTATGCTTTGGAGGAAAAATTGACGCTTCAAAGCAGAAAACGATCTGCGTGGACGATGTCTTTGAAATTGTTTTATGACGGCTTGTCTCAGTGACGCGCGGGGGCGTGCACAGAGAAGCCGGGTTTGGTGGAACGCGAGTTCCCGTTTTAACACCACGTTGCTGGGCCTGCCTCCATTGCCAGCTTCATAACTGGAGCCGAGACAGGCGGTGTCGCACGCACCTTAAACGCAGGGCACAGCGTTGGTTGGGGATTCCCTATGGGGGGGGGTCGTATTTGGGCTGGGAAAAATTTATTTTTATAGTTGATTTTTCTCGCTTTGCGGACGTTTTGGAGGGGGGGGGTCGTATTTGGTCGTTGTTGGGAGGGGGGGGGTCGTACCAGCCCCTGAAAAAGGGGGGGGTCGTAAAAGCTCGACCAAAATCCCCATCGAATGCTGTGCCCTGGCCTAACCCCTTGAACGCCTCCGTGTCCACAGCGCACTAGATTGTACTTATGAGGCGTCAAAAACTTGTAAGTACATCATCATTCATCGCTTCTCTTCCATTATCACTATGGAGACTCGCTTACCTTCACGAATTACAATGTCACGTGGAACACCCCGCTCGATGACCTTCAGCACCATATCACCGGTCATTTGATAGAAAAACTGTAAATATTACGATTCGCAGAGTGAAAAACGGGAATTGAAAGTACAAGCAAAAATTAGAGAAAAGAACAGCGAATTTCTTTGGCGCTCACCCCTCTTCTCCCTCCTCCAAATGGTAGTCTCTACGTGAATTCGGCCCTCCCACGAAGAACAGTTTGAGATACTCAGAAAACCTGAAGATTCAAGAAATATCTAGTCGATTCAGTTGATTTGATTAAAGCGGAATGTCATCTGTTTGGGCTACGTTTTTTGGAGAAGTAAGTTCCCGCATTTTATTAGGTTGATTTAACAGAATGATTTTTCATAAGACCATTGAATAAGATGGAACAATTCAATAGGCGCTTTGATGGTACAGCGGGAGTAAATTACAAACTTCTGGGCACTGTTCAACTATTAGCTAATTCAATTTCCCGAAACGGGCCGGATCTTGATCGACTTTTTTCTACGGGGGCAGATTTGGCTGAAAGTTGGGTTCTAGGGGTAATTCGACCTCCTGAACACGAATATCACATCCGCTCCTCCCGAAACTGCCTGGCGCCCGCGCCACAGGCGCCGGCGCCAAAGTGCCTTGAATGCACTGGCGCTGGGCGTGGGCGCCAGGCAAGCTTTCAGGCCAAATGGATGTGATAATCGTGTTCACGAGGTCGAATTTCCCTCTAAAACCAAATTGCAGCCAAATCCGCCCCGTAGAAAAAAGTCGATTAGGATCCGGCCGGGCCAAAACTGGGGTAGTAGCAGTTGAATAGTGCCGCCAGCTTCTTCTTAAACGCACATTTTTTGCCCGAATGCAAGGCCGCTAGGTATAAACGGCCGAGTCCTCTTGCGTTGCTGCAGATAACGCACGCAAAACTATGATTTTCCGTTGAATGAAGATGCACAAGGCGCTTTAGAGACTCAATATTAGTTTCCGAGCGGAAGGCCCTGAAAGACCGCTGCCTCGGTGTGAGGTTCAGGCGCTTTCGTGGAGTAAGAGCGACTTTGCTAGTCTAAGTGGGGGGAGCCCTTTGAGTCGCAGTTTTTTTTTCTAGTTTATGATCGGGTTCTGGTGCGTTCTCTTTCTTCGTCTCCGCTAGCACTGTGCATTAGACCCAGTTTCCCCGTAAAACTCAACCAAAAAGTCGATCAGAGCGAGGACAATAGAGTTTTCGACGTCGACTTCGCCCATTCTCGAACACTTGACGAGATGAATGTATGGCAGGGCTGTTGGGCAATCCCTCTACGCGCTTTTGCAACCCTCGACTGGCACAAGGCCCAAATGAATGCACCAGATTCTGTGACTTGACTTTCAGAGCGAAGACGGTGTCAAAAATGCTACTTTTGAACACCTAGAATTTGTTTTTTGACGCAGTTTTTTTGGGTGACTTCTTTCGGAACTTTTTTCCCATTCTGAGAAAAACAAAACGCTCTGTGTCGACCATGCAAAGTCCTCTAAAGGTATATTACCTTCTTGAAAAAAACCGCCCCTATTTCAAGCCTTAGTAAGTGAAAGGAAAAGAAAACAATAGAAAAAAATCACAGAAAGGAAAAGCAAAGAGAAAAATGTCAGCGAAAAATGGGCCTTATAATGCTGGTTGTTATGGGGATTGCGTATGTCTCTTCTTACAACAAAAATGTGCCCGAAAATGCACAGGAGGAAGAGGACTATGCAAGGTAGATATAGCTCTCGACGAGTTTAAGGTAGCTTACCAAGTTATTAGAGAGCTAAATCTCGCTAGAACAGTCCACATTCAATCACCCACCTCTCACAACCAACCTTTCGGGACCTACATAGTTACCCTTTCAGGTCATGTTCTAAATAGTGATGGTGACAAAGGGAGGCTCAAAAAAACGTCATATTTCAACATTTGACTCTGCTATGCCATTGGACGCTCATGAAAAAAATCGCGAAAAAAAATGCTAACAAAAACACATGATTGAATCAGACCAGCACGGAGACCACGAGTGAGATTCCTCGCGTAACAACAAAAAAAAAAAAACGAAAATAGGAAGTATCTTTGAGAAAACCTTACATGCATTTGTTACAGACTGGTGGCACAAAATCTTCCTTATTATCGACGATCCATTTTACTATATCGATTGTTTTCGTCTCCATTCCTCAGCCTGCTATATGCTTCAGCAAAAATTAGCAAAAGAAGGTAAAATAATGAAAAAAGACTCCTCAAATTCTGGTAAATAATGCATAAAATCCCCCTGAACTTTGATAAGAATGTAGAAACACTTCGATAAACAGACCCTTTTGGTAGATGACTTCCTTCCGTAGAGTGGGATCAGTGCGCATCGGTGATGATTGATTACGGTAAATGGCACGATAACATCAGAGCAATTATCATCCTTAGAAGCGATCAATAGTGAACTGTAAACTTGGTGAAATGGCAATTATTTGGATGACTTCGTTCCCACATAATGACTTTGCGGAGGGGTCTCGAATCCATCGACCCCAGAGGGATAATCGGCTTGGTTAGTCTAGGAAGGGAGCAATACTGGGTCTAGCTCCCGACTGTACGCCTAATACCCGGCGTCATTTGCCATTCTCCCACTGCGGCTGCATCTAAATAAGTGAGAGGGCAAGAAAAAGAGAGAAGGAAGGACAGACGGAAAAAGGAATCCTCTTCAAATAGCATTCCCTTTTATCGAAAAAGGTCAGTGTCTTCTCTGCTGATCAGTCTACGGGCTTTATTTTCCCTGCATCAGTACCAACAGGAACATTCAAGCGTTGTCGAAGTGAGTGGACAAGAAATATGTCAGCTTGTCAGGCCGCTAGATTCGATCGAAATGCAGTATGGGGTCAATCATTCCTGAATTCCTCAACGAAAGCTGGCTTCGTCCACGCTGAAAAGGTGACAAACGGATGGGAGGAGATCCACAACGTGTTTTTCTCACTGACCCGTCCATCAACGCAAGAATATGAAGAGACCCTGGAGGATGGAAAGCCTAGCTGCCCGGGGTGGGAGCCGATCCAGTTGATCCCCTCACCGTGCGCGTGGCAAGCGTGCCTTTTGCCGCTATACCATCTCCGCCTCTGATGCTACATACCTGAGAAATACCAGAACTCAACATTGCCGAGAAAGTCGCTTCCAAAATCCAAAAAAAATTCAAAATGTTGGCTATCATCCAGGTCTGAGTTCTATTATACAAAAGGCGCCTCGAAAACGGTTACGTAATCTCGTGCTCATTCCCCTCCGTTACCCTCTGTTCTCTGCCTTTGTTACGTTTGGGCCCTCGTCGCTATCGCGGCCACGCCCCTTGTTGTTCCCAGATATGGACTCCATATAGCCGTATAGCCCGCGCCGAATGCGCGTAGTTGCACCTACCAGATGTCTTCCTCATTGACGTGTCCCATTTCACCGTTTTGGGAAGAAGATGCTCAAATGACAGTGTGGAAGATCTGCCTCCACCCATGTGATCATCGTGAACAGTGCCTTTAAGACGTTCCCGTGCCCGTCGTCGAAAGCAAGCAAAATCGTACCAGTGCGTTCCATAGCTGAGCATGATCGCTGCAATGGTTTGGAGAAGTGGAATTCTTCAGCAACTCCCAAATCTCCAGTGATTTTTTTCTGCATGAGACATAGTACCTGGGGGCGGCTACTCCATCAGAACTGTCCTTGGGAGCCATCGCTTACCACTCTTAGGTTATCCTGCTGTTTTTCTCACCTCCTTATCATTAATATCAAATCACTCCTAAATCATTTTGCTGCAAAACCATGTGGTAACCTCATTTTCTACTAACCTTATGTGGAGGGTGGCGGGATTGAATGCCGTGAGCCTTCAACGAGTTGCGACTCTTCGTTGGATCCGTTTCGCAGCAGTCGGGACCGGGTGAGTTCCTCTTGACTCCTAAGGAGCCAGCAAAGCGAGTGGGTATTTTGTTGCGGATTCTACCTCTTCAGCGCATTCACTAGAGACTCTCGGACCCTAAGTCCGAAAATTTTAACGCTTGCAGGCGCAACCCTTCAACCTTGAGCCGCAGAATTTCAGGTTCAGGAAGATTGCCGCGGCAAAAGCTTCTGTGCAATAATACTAACGACCTTAACTCACTTTCTCGAAAATCTTTACTAGTGAGTTTTGCATATGTAAGCTTTCCTATGAAACGGTATCCCTATATTGACAATGCGCGAGCAGTGAGAGATAAACGTGTCCGCATGAGATTAGGGGGCACTAAGTTGGCGTTGGTGAGGATTTTCTGGGATCCAAATTCCGTTACCCCTACCGTACTG